TTTGAATGTTTTATGATCATTTAAGCCAATAATGCATAGATTTGATCTGCCGCTGTATTATTCGCAGGCTTGGCTCTGTGCATACAGGCCACACACTCACCCCGGACAATGCAGAAAGGGGCTAAACCTTCATTTCAGATTGCTTTGACACAGTCCAGTGTGGTCTGGGCAGAAGAGAGGGCACTTATTGTCCACTAAGGACTTTGCCACATTCATTTGAGGAGCAGCCCTTTCTCATTATTAACAGACACACTAAACGATGGGGCCCAAACAATACAGAACAGATCCCTTTATGCAGACAAGTGCTCAACGTTTCAGCAGCCACTGTGTGCCCTCCACCACTCCCGCTCCCTTTTTAGATACCTGCACATGAGTGAAAGATGTGGAGGACACAAAAGATATCCTCAACTTTCCTTTTTCTCCCATTCTGTGAAACAGGCCCATTTTAAAGCCTTTATTTGTGCAAAGCCTCTCATTAACTCCGCTCATGCTGCCTCACTCGGTTTGCCATTGCTTAAGTACCGGGTGTTGTAAAAAAGCTACCAATTAGTCACTCATCAGCTCCAATTAGAGGAGACAAAGCCCGAGTAAAGATAACTCAATGAGAGGGAGAGGTGGAAGGGTGAGGGCTCTCAGTATGTGCATGTGTGATTGTGTGTGTTTTTTTGTGTCTACACGCATAAGTGTGTGTTTGCGTACATGTGTTGAAGCCCGGACCGGCACAACATCGTTTTTAATCAGTGGAGAACTTGTGGCCATTCAGTCTGACCCACCACGGCACAGGTCCATTCACTCTCCAGGCCCCTCAGCGGGCCCTTTTCTCAGGGCCAAGTGTTGTTGTGCTGGGAAGACAGGCCCCCCAGGAGTCCCAGAAAGAGAGCCATTCAATCCTCTCTACCTGTTTGCAGCACATAAAGCACTTAGACCCTGGCCGATCTCTCATCATTGTCTCCTTCACTCTCAATACTTCCTTAAACTTAGGCCTCAACAAGAGCAAGCCCTTTTATAGAGGGGGGAATAGGGGATGTATGTTAAGGGGGTGCCTTTCGCCTCATTAGAATTGAATTTGCACTGTCTTGTAATTACGCTGAAGGGCAACAATGTATTTTTTTTCTTCCATCATAATCTTTGCTGAATGGAAGATTTTTTGGGGCAGTTAATTTGCTGCCCACACTAATGCATTAATTAATGAATTGGGTAGCACTAATTTTCTTTATGCTGCTCCTCTCTGTTTGTTTCCTCCATCTGTTTCCAACAGTCCTGGGCAGCCGCTACTAATAAAATTACCTCATTAGGGCTTTTTAGCAACACAGTAACTCACTCATCCTTTTTGCTACTAAACATTTTCTTTGGGGTTTGTGTGTGTGTGTGTGTGCATGTTCCCATTTAGTGCTGCATATTTTTTGTGGACAGTTCTAAATAATGAAGGGGGCAAGCAGAGAGATATAATTGGGAACAAGGGGCCACTTCAGCAAATATTTGAAATCCTTTTAAAGGCCTGTCCTTGTACAGTGGTGATTAATTACTTCCAGAAGAGATATTTGAGAAATTTATTGCCAAGATTTCCCCGTGTTTTTGTCTCTTTCTATACGAGAGGAGCCCAGCTTGTTAAAAAGAATCGCCCAGCACTTCAATATCGGTCCCTCTTTAATCAAATGCAAATCATAACATACAGCGTTGTGGGAAAATGGGCTCATTGTGAAACAAATACACAACGTGTTAACAATGATGTAGTGTCTAATGAGGCTGGCATCCAAAATCCAAAACTTCCAACTATCTGAATGGATTTCGGTTTTGATGTTGTCAAAGAATGAACAAATCTGCGTTTGTCTTTTGGGAACGACATAAATGTTTCTAATAGAAAAGATAACGAATGTGAATATGATTTAAATGAGGGGAAAAAAGTTCTTCCAGGAACAAAATGATCACTCTGACGCCTGCAGGTCAATCTTTGAGAGAGAAGAAAAGGTAATGTCACAGAGTCCCAAAATAAACAAGCATGTACACATTACCCATGCTGAGTGAGCATTCCCACACAGCTTTATTCATCACGGTGTTTTGATTGCGTCTGTGTGGATCCCTGTGAACTACACGCCAAAGTCTAATGAGTTCAGTCAGCACTCTGTGCTGTGCATCATTTAATGGGCTGAACTCAAACAGTACACGCAGTACAGGACTGAGAAATTACTGCCATCTAGTGGATTCATAAGGGAATGCTTGATGTAAAAACACAACTAAGTAGTGTATTGTCCTTTTTTCTGGTTATTCTTTATTAAATAAGGAATGGATAATAATGTCATATAAAATCAGGTTAACTCAACCAGAGAGTGAGTGGCACCACATAATGGTAATATTAGGTGGTAATATGTAAGAGTATGCTATCAAAATCGTTCATAGTGTGTGGATGTGGCTGGGATTATTGTGGATAATGGCAAAAAAAAACAAACACCAAATACCATAAAATAAATAAAACAAACAAACAAACATGCACAGATGAGTCAAGTCAGACGTTTCTTTTCTCTTTTTTTGTTTCCTATATGCCTGATCATCAGACAGAATTGATATTGAAATCCACAAAGATCAGGAAATAAAATTCTCGTTTTGGTGATTATTAGTCTCATGATGTTCATCAAGGATGAACAGTTTTTTATAAATTTTCTGCCAACAAATCAACAGGTCGGTTAAAAATAGGATTTCTTTTTAAACATCAGACTGCTTTGGATCTCTTGCTTTGAGAAGGTCTCCCTCTGGTGGAGAAAAAAATTAAAACATTTTAGAAATTCAGTCAGCTGACATTCACACTGCCCTCTGAAAGTTGCCTGCTTGCAGAGAAGGCTTTACTTTGGTTGGTTTATTATTAGATCAGATATACAAGCGCAGTGGTTTTTATTCCGAGTTTTAAACAAGCCGCAAATGAGCTGTAGGCACAGAAACTTTAGTCTGGTGTAGAGATGGACCGATCCGATATTACGTATCGGTATCGGTCCGATACTGACCTAAATTACTGGATCGGATATCGGAGAAAAATAAAAAATGTAATCCGATCCATTAAATATCACGAAAGCACCTCACAAAACTTGCAACACACCGTAACTCACCTCAGAACGTTAGCACTCGGAGCAGTATGCATCACATGATAGAGCGGCTGTGGCATGCAGGACCTGTCTGGGACCTCTGGATAGCATTTGGAGCTTCGCTAGCAACCCGGCATTTCATCTCCGACAAAGTTATCCCGAGAGAAGTAAAGCAAGTGTGTAAGTCCATCTCTGAATGTTTGTAAAGCATTCCTGCGTTACTGCCTCTTCTTGCTGCTACTTCAATCATGAAACTGCTTAATGATCAGCTGATCGGCTTTTCTGTCGCAAGTCCGTGTCTCTAGTTTGCTTTTGGCCCACTTTGCACCAGAAAGAGGAAACCAGCGGCTGAACAACAGCAGCACGTTTAAGCTTGATCAGCTGTTGTTAGAATGTATTTAATATTACTTTCTACTCGAGGATCTTTTTCTAGCTGACGCTGGTAACTGTGCAGGGGCGGATCTAGCAAAGTTTAGCCAGGGGGGCCGATAGGGCATTAACAGGGAAAAGGGGGCACAAAGACATACTTTTCTTTCTTATTCTCATTTAAAATGTCTAACTTTTAATAAATAATTATCTGACACCCAAAGTTTTAATTTGATGTAAAATGAATAGAAGTCAATTACTGTATATAGTAACTGTTAAGTCTAATATACCCTAGTAAGCTATAGTACTTTTTCCTTTGGGAAGGTACCATCTGTGCAGTCTGCAATTTTGTTGAAGAAAGATGTTGAATCTATTTAATATTTCTTGAAAAATAATTGATTTCTGTGCATTTTTTTTTCACACTGCATCAAATTAAGGTTGATTACGTCGATTAAGCATCATGAGGTGGAGCGTGAGGGGTGGTTCCCTATTTTTTTATTTTTGTTGTTGCTGGGAGTTGGAACCCTATTAGTTAGGTTGCTTAATATTTATGCTAAGTACTCTTTAAAATACCAGAATAAGGAGGATGGTGTAGGTTTAAGTTTATTAGATTGATCAGTATTGCTGAACTATGGAATATTTTTTTTTGCATACAGGTATAACAGAATAGCTTTAGTGTAGTTGTTGTTTTGAACTTGAGTATGAACTTATACAAAATGCAGCAAGATATTTAAAAAACAGTTTTGTTGATTAAAAAACACTATATCGGATTCATATCGGTATCGGCAGATATCCAAATTTATGATATCGGTATCGGACATAAAAAAGTGGTATCGTGCCATCTCTAGTCTGGTGTCCATGGCAGGAGATATAATTCAGTTTTAAGAAGTTTACTTTAAAATTATCAAGTTACAGGCTATGGTTAGGCACCAGAAGGCAGCTCTGGTGCCTAACGCAGCCCTCCAACTAACACCTCAGCGCGCAGCGTCACTGCGTATATCAAAGGAAGCTCTGATAACAAATATGCATCTGTTTTTTGTTTTTGTAAAAACTAGAAATAAATTATGAAAAAACAAAACTGTTCTCACCTTGGAGCTCTTACAGGTAGCAAAACATTACAAAACAAGAACCACTGTGACAGCGCAAACCTCCACCAAGACAGCTCACTCTCTGGGCAGTATTCACTTTTAAGGGAATATTTGGTATGTATTCATTTCGTCTTCATCAGAACAAAGTTTTATGAGAATTCATTCAAAACTACACAGAAAAAATGGCACCTCCTTGACAGAAGTCAAAAACTGTAGGAACGCTGTATTAGATAAGGTGCGGTGTCATTTCAGCGACATTTGAAACTTACCGATAATCCACAGTTGCAGCTCTGATCACAGCTGGTACTACAGCAGTATTTCCAAACTTTCTTTGAATCATTACTTTTGGTAAAACAAAGTTTTAAAAATGACAATGGGTCATGCAATAGATGAGACTCAATGCACTAAGGTTAAAAAGTAAAATTCTATATTTTGCTGCTTTAATTCTTCCTGCAAGCACAAAAATGATGCAACACATGCCGATTGTTTACAGTTAAAGAGAAAAAAACCCCTGTTTTTATGAGAGACTTCTTTAATGTGCTATAAAGGAACAGTAGGTTTCTGAAAATATGCAATAAAAAAGCATGCGTTGGCACAGTCTACTCATTTTTGTTAAAAAATAGATGAAATTTTGTATATCATACAAAAATAGACAATCTGTAATCAAACAGCATAAAATATGTTCTTTTTTTAAGAAGTTAAATAAGAAGGCAGATCATTTCAATATTCACACCAAAGACAATGTATTTTTTGTACTTTTTCATTCATTCCATTTTGTTCACTCTGTTCTCTCTCGTGTTGGTTTCCTCTTCCTGTTCCTCTTCGGCCCTGCGCCTGTTCGAGGCGGCGCTTCCTTAGAGTCCTCACCCGAGCCCATATCTAAAGGGTCCTGGTTTTGTCTCCCGCTGTCAGGGACTGTGGGAAAGTCCTCCTCTAGAGAGTGCATAGGTCGACCGTACACCTTGCTCTGCAGGTCTGCGATGTCATTTCGGATGTCTGCCATCAGCAGAAGCAGGAAATCAAAGGATCCTGGAGGGCCCTGGGTTTGACCAAAGAGATACAGAAAAACTGATTTAGAAATTTAGATTTTTAGCTTATTTGTGGATATAAATATAATTATTACACAAGAGTTTATTGCATCAAGGCCACTGGATGCTTGGACATGATGATAATGAATACTTTCCATGAGATACCATTTAATTTCCCAGCCATGCTGTAGTTTAACTACACTTTTCTATTTGATAGTAACGAGTTACAGTAATGTGGCCTTGGTATAGATAGCCTTAGTCTTACTGGTGGTCCAACAGGCCCAGGAGCTCCTCTGTCCCCCTGAGGAAACAAAACAAATATTTAGCTAAGATGAATTACACTGAAGGAAAATGCATGAGAGGAATTCATGATATTCTGCTACGGGAACTTTCACAAACTGGAAAACTGAGTTCAGGATGAAAGTAAACACGATTGCTTCATGGATTAAAAAAGGAATAAATGGGAGCACATTATATCAAAGAAGCATGTACTGTGTTGTTATACTGTATATATTTGCTAAAAGAGCAATGCAGCTTTCATCAACTCTGTGTAAAGTTTGAAACATAAACTATCTAAATGTCACCCTAAAGCTCATGCTCAAAATGTGAGAATACAAAGTGTGGCTCTCCATAGAGTTTAGTGTAAAATCTTCTTTTCTAGCTTTAGATAACAAATACATTTCTAAGCAAAAAAGTAAAATTAGCCCCTTTAGTAAGCTGGATCCTTTACAGCTTGACTGTGAATTATCATGGCAGCCTGGTGATTTACAGTAGCACATACACATTAAGCTGACTACCCTGTTAGCCATGCTCAGGGTCACAAGGGGGCTGGGAGTGTTTTGGCAGATGGTTTGGATTTGTTACTCTGAGAGACATATTACCATAACCCTCCAATCTATCCGCACAAACATCCCAGCTGCACTGAAAAGAACACCAAGGTACTGTGTCAATAAGGCAGATGCACCTAAGTCTTTCCATGCGTTCAATCTACAAGCCAAGCAAACAGAGTTACAAGGTCCAATTTAACATGAGAATCTCTGAAGCTTTCATACCTTGCTCTTGTAAGTGATTTATTTTTCTTTTAAATAAACACAACCACCCTGGTGTCCAATCACGGGCACTGTTAAGTCTCATAATGTTTCAAGGTTTCTGCATATTAGCTCCTTTAACTACTTCACCTGGCTGCTCTCAGTCTAAATTCATTCTGACATCCTGAAGGTTCAGGATCAAGTCCCCAGTGAAACTAAAAAAGAAAATCTTACCTCACTCACTCACTGCACCACCGACCTGCTGTACTTATCACAGGCTAGGGCCAAATCAAAGATAGAGAGAGAGCTCTGTTCTATTTTTAAAAAGCTTTTTCTTTGAGGCTAATCTTAGTAACAACTGCCACAGTCACAAGTGATGTTCATACATTATTTTGCCATATAAAAACCATCATCATCTAAATGAGAGCGAACCACTGTCAAACTCAACTACAACACGGTGCAGCAAAGTGGCAGAGCAAGAGCTTCTGGTTATAGATATTGTAAAAAAGAGCAAGAGGCATATTGTTTAATGCAAAGATGTGAAAAATGCACAAAATAAATCTCACAGTAACTAGGATGAAATCTGCATTGTGCCCACTTAATCTCAGACTTAACCATCTGTCAGAGCCTTCTTTTTTTAACCCTTTGTCTTAGGCTTCACAAGAACGCAAAGCAGAGAAAAGCATTCCTGTTAGCCCTTTAAAATAACATCTCCAGCTGGCCAATCTGAATAAATCCAGGTGATTCCAAACAACCAAAACAGCCCAGAGGTATCTATAGTGTTCACATTGGTGGTCAATGACATTTCTGTGCTGAAGTCACGGGCTCAAGTCTGACTTGAGAAATTTCTTTCCAAGTGAGCAAAATCCTGACCCTCTCTGTAAGAATATGTAACGCATGTTTCAAGCATCGACCAAAGCTTGTGTTCATGTTGTACACAAAACTGTGAAAACTGCCTATAAACTTGTAGCAACTTGCAGTTAAGTAATCCCCTCATGTGCCCGCGCAGCACCCAGGTGAGGATTAACAAGTATTCTGGCACCTGCCTTGTGCTTTTCATCCTGAACAAATCTGGAGAGGGGGGGAACAATTTAGCTATTGAGAAATTTACTTTGATTGATATGATTTTGGCAAATCTATACAGCCGGTGCTTTCTGCACTCACCGCACCGACTTCTTTTTTAAAATAGGATGCAATATGTCAATGGTGATGACTCCTCCTGCTCCCTAAGGGATCAATGTGATGGGCAATTCTACTCTTGTCTATAGTAATTGCCTTGTAGAGGAAATTTATACTTTAAAATTCCCCAAAATGAAGATTTCTGGTTGACTAAATAGCATCTGAACTCACCTTTAGACCGTCTTTTCCTGGTGCTCCTGGAGGCCCCTGTTCAATACAAAAAGTAGTTCAGATATATTTGATTTTTAAACATATTTTAGTCACTTTTGTTTCAAACTCCAAAGGTATGAAATTATATTTACTGCTTTAAAGTATTGTTCTGTGGCGGCTTGTTGAATTCAGTATATTCCCAGAAACAGTTTACCCAAAGCCCCTCAAAATACAAAACTACTTTATTATGCTACATCAAGTGAGAGTACCCACGATTAACTCTGTTCCTGCCTCCAGGCCATTTCTGAATAACTTCAAACTGACAACACAGAGTGCTTTGATCTCTTTCATGGGATAATAATCTTTGTATAGGGAGTAGCGCCAATATTCAGATCACTAAAAACCTTCTGAGTCACGCATTCATCACCTCTGAAATCCAGACATGAAGTCAAACACACATGGCCTGGTGACCAAACCAAACCTAACTGCACCTAGAGTTTAACCAGGTTGTTGTGCGATGAGAGGACAACATCCTTTCAGTAGGAGATCATCAGCATGTGTACTGATGAAATGTATAAATAAGATTAAAAAAAACGCATCCACGCTCAAACACAAAGCAACAGGTCATCTTCTAAAAAACACTGCTCTACAGCTCTTGTTTTGGCTTTAAGCAACTTGTGATGTGATTGATGGTAGGTGATGATAGTCTGATTTATCAGTGAGAAGATTGCATAAATACAAGAGCTTTAAAAAAGTAGAAAATATGTCTTGATAGCCACATCCTGCACATTCTTGATTCCAGTCCCACACTTTAACATGTAGGGTTGACACTTGCAGGAAAGACTTGGCACGGCACAAAAACAGCAAGCCAAAGAAAGCAACCGAAGCTGTTGTCCTGCCATTTCCACGTGTTATCCTTATCCACCTCGCAAGAATGAGGGTCTTTAAAAGGGTGCATGACGGGATGTATTTTGTGTCTTTCTCAGGGGGGTTTCCTGTCAATGCAGTTACACTAAATTATCTGATAATATAATAATTTAGTGAATCATTAAAATGAAAAAAGAGATTTTCAAGATTGTATTGCTTTTCATATTAAAACAGCCATTCTTCTATGTGTCACAAAGTAAAATTATAAGATAAAAATAATAATAAATAGAGGTAACTGGTGTAAGAGTGGTGCTATACATCAACTTATTCATAGGTCACAATCAGGACACAAACTTTCTGATTTTTATATTCTCCATTTGACATGAAGAATAAGACTGTTACGTGCCAAGGGGTGTGGCTTAGCTTTTGTGCTCTGTTTTGTGTTCTGTTTATCTTTCAGGCGTCAGGCCTCCTCTGATTGGCCAGTTCGAAGTTGATTGGCAGGTGTCTATTGGCTGGTCTGGGCTCAGTTGGCCAATCACACTCCAAGGAACACTACAAATGAGCCGCTCCCTGGCCAGCTGGGGCTGCTGGCTTCTGCTTTGACAAACATTTGCGAACAGGCTTCTTTATGTTGTGTGTGGTGGGAGGCTGGACAGGTAAGCCGGGGTACCCTATACATTGGTTGTAGATTTTACTCTGTTAGTCACACTAGGTTATGCGGTTGATGCCACCCTTGTAGGTTTTCACTGACTTTTATCGAGTAGCTAGGTAGGCCTTTTGTTTTGCACTTTTCTTTCAGTTAGGCTAGGCCCTGGAAGCTACTGACCTCTTTTTGTTTTATTACTTTCTTTGATTTGGATCAACCGCCCAGTCCTCCTCCCCCCCACCTCTTCTCTGTTGTTAAGATTGACTGTCCAACCATTAAATTCTGCCTGATACCTAACTGCTCTGTGGTCTTCCTCCTTCATTGATTGTGGTTGTCCAGTGTTGCTGTCCCCTGCCTGCCTTTGCCCCCGCCGTGGTGGGGGGGGACGTAACACAAGTGGGGGCTCGTCCGGGATCGTTGTATGCTGTGGACAACCTATATTAATGAGGAGGGTGCCGTGATTTTAGGGTGTCTACGTTTCTTAGTATCAGCCGGAGATGAGTTTTGACCTGCTTGATTTTGTTAGTCAGCCTAGCGTTGATAAGATTGACTTATGTCGCAAAGACGACCTGTTGAGTATTGCTGCCCAGTATAACCTTTCTGTACCAAAGTATGGAGTGAAGAAGGATATTAAGCAGGCTTTGTTGGAGGGATTAATCGAGTTGGGTATTTTAATCAGCCCTGTTACAGCTGGGGTGCCTTCTCAGGACCCTTTAGCTCCCCCTGGAGCCTCTGCTGATCCAGCTTCTCCAGAGAGAACTGATGAGCAAGCGCTGCTTGCTACACCTCCGGGTGCCCAAGTTAACTCGGATGCGGCTCCCCAAACTCTGCCTCGCTTTAAGCCTTTCACTCCAGAATCCCAAACGTCTAGCAGTGATGCAAAGCTTAAGGTTCGGTTACTGCGTTTACAGCTAGAGGCACAAGAGAAGGATAAGGTGCGTAAAGCAGATTATGATCTCCGGCTGGAGGTCCGTAGGCTGGAGATAGAAGCTGAAAAAGAAGTCAGGTTAAAGCAGCTTGAAGTAGAAGCACTGAGGGTGTCATGGTCCTGCGACCATGACTCAGTGACTTTATGTTTATGTTCTTTATTGTTATTACTTTCATTATTATTCATGGCTGTTTTGGGATGGTTTGTGTTTGGGATTTTAGACACTGGGTTCTGGGTTTGTGCTCCCTCTGTTGGTCCCTGGTGTTAGTGTTCCCCTGTCTCGTCAGGGTAATCAGGTCCAGCTGTTTCCCCCACCTGTGTGTGATTTCCCAGTGTCTCTTCGTGTACTTATAGTGTGTGATTTCCTCTGCTCCTCGTCGCGTCGTCTGTGTTCATACCCGGTGAATCCCCTGCGTGCTCTCCCTGCTGTTCTCCCTTCATGTTCAGGTTTGTCAATAAATCACCTTCACATCTGAGTAAGTGCTGCATCTGAGTCCTCCTTTCCACTCTTCACACGGCCGCTGCCCCGGACCGTGACAGTACGACGCGACCACAACATGGACCCAGCAGCGCTTAACCCGTCCAGGGAGCTACGGGAAAATCTCATCGATGCCACACAGGAGCTCATCGACCGGTGGCTGGAAAACCCGGGTGGCACGTCCCAGCGCGCTATAGAGAGGCGGCTTCTGGGCTCGCTTTGTTCGTGGGAGCGGGAGTTCCTCCTTTTGGACCTCGGACTTCACCCCCCGTCTGCTTTTACTTTCAAGCAGCCCGAGGCGGTGAGCGAGCGACATGTTCTGGCTTCCCCAGATTCCGGGACTCTGTTTTCTGGGGCTATTCAGAGCGGGATGAGAGACAGTGTAGATAGCTTACCTACCTTCGTGGTAACGGATCCTTCGCAAGTGGGCGTCTACAAACCCTCTGTAAAACCGAGAGACTGTTTCTTTGCCGCTCCTTCTGAGCCAGGACTTTATCACCATTCTCCGGCTCAGTTCTGTGTCCAGCCACAAGCTCCCAGGTCTGTGGCTCAACCGTTAGCCTCCCTAAGGGCTCAATTACCCGTTCTGCCGCCGCTCCAGTTAGCCACTCAGCCACCACCACCGCTAGCATCGCTACAGCCCACAGTTCCGGTAATGGCTGAGCCACAATTTTCACACTGTTTTTCCACCGCTGTTTCTGGGCAGGGAGACAAACTGTTTTGCTACGGACCTGTTCCTCAAAAGCTGGCAACATTAGAGACTGTTGCTCACTCCGGGGCTTCCCCAGAGGCTGGGTTACTGCCCTCAGCTTACTCTGGACCCCTGGAGGCCAAGATGCCAGCTGTGAACTGTACCGGGCTGTCACTGCCTGAGCAGGGTCAGTGCTCTGCGCAGCTGCAGCCCTCCGTACGTGCGCCAGAGGCCCACGTGCCTACTGGTTTTGTTTCATGTGTGCCAGAGGCCCACGTGCCTACTGGTTTTGTTTTATGTGTGCCAGAGGCCCACGTGCCTCCTAGTTTTGTTTTGTGTGTGCCCGCTGGTTCTGCGGCTGTTTTCGCTGGGGGGCCCGAGGAGCCCGTCCAGCCTCCTGCTTCGCCTGCTGGGGGCCCGAGGAGCCCGTCCAGCCTCCTGCTTCGCCTGCTGGGGGGCCCGAGGAGCCCGTCTGGCCTCATGCCACACTGACTGCCACGTCGGCTGGGGGGCCCGAGGAGCCCGTCCGGCCTCATGCCACACCGGCTGCCACGTCGGCTGGTCCCTCCGTCCTGGGCCCCCTGCCGCCCGCCCGGATCTGGTGGTGTGTTTCTGTGGCTGTCGGGGGCCAGCCCTTGAGGGGGGGGTACTGTCATGGTCCTGCGACCATGACTCAGTGACTTTATGTTTATGTTCTTTATTGTTATTACTTTCATTATTATTCATGGCTGTTTTGGGATGGTTTGTGTTTGGGATTTTAGACACTGGGTTCTGGGTTTGTGCTCCCTCTGTTGGTCCCTGGTGTTAGTGTTCCCCTGTCTCGTCAGGTTAATCAGGTCCAGCTGTTTCCCCCACCTGTGTGTGATTTCCCAGTGTCTCTTCGTGTACTTATAGTGTGTGATTTCCTCTGCTCCTCGTCGCGTCGTCTGTGTTCATACCCGGTGAATCCCCTGCGTGTTCTCCCTGCTGTTCTCCCTTCATGTTCAGGTTTGTCAATAAATCACCTTCACATCTGAGTAAGTGCTGCATCTGAGTCCTCCTTTCCACTCTTCACACGGCCGCTGCCCCGGACCGTGACAGTGGGTGTCATCAGGACAGAAAACGGATGCCACTAAAGAAATCCCGAAAGTCTCCCCGGAAAGTTTTAACGTTAGCAAACATATTGCCCTAGTACCTACCTTTCGTGAGACTGAGGTAGATTCGTACTTCAACGCTTTTGAAAAGGTGGCTACTGCTCTGAAATGGCCAAGAGACATGTGGCCCATATTACTTCAGTGTAAATTAGTGGGCAAAGCTCAGGAGGTAGTAGCTTCACTTTCGCTAGAGCAAAGCATGAAATACGACGTGTTGAAGGAAACAATTGTACGTGCCTACGAACTGGTACCTGAAGCCTACAGGCAGAAATTTAGGAACCATAAGAAGTCCAGCAGTCAAACATATGTGGAGTTTGCACATGAAAAAGGGGCTCTTTTTGATAAATGGTGCGCTGCTAACGGAGTTGGGGATGAGTATGAGTCGCTGCGTGAGTTAATGTTACTGGAGGATTTTAAAAATTCATTACCTGAGAGGCTCATAATGTTCTTAAATGAACAGAAGGTGATGTCAATGTCCAAAGCAGCTGTGTTGGCCGATGAGTTTGTGTTAACTCATAAGAATGTTTTTACCCCTGTTTCCCATCCAGATAGGCCCACAACCTTGCGCTCAGCACGGCTTGAGTCTAGTTGCTCTGCTGCGAGGCCAGTGAGGGTGCCCTCGCCTCCCCACGGTGAGCGTGAATGCTTTTATTGCCACAAGAGGGGTCATCTCATTGCAGAATGTCAGGCATTAAAGCGTAAACAGCAACTATCCTCACAACCAAAAGGGGTGGGACTGATTAAAGCCACAGAGAATGGGAGGGCATTTCAACCGAACACTAACCACCCTGACCCCTGTTTCAAACCATTCATTCTAGAGGGAGTGGTTTCGCTGACTGGGAATCCAAAAGACCAACAACCAGTAAAAATACTGAGAGATACAGGGGCCTCTCAGTTCATCATTAGAGAAAACGTCTTACCGTTTTCTGAGTCGTCGTTTTGCCAGTCCAGTGTTATTGTCCAGGGAGTAGAACTCGGATTTGTATCTGCCCCTTTGCACACTATTTACATTCAGTCAACATTAGTCAGCGGAGTTGTTAAAGTGGCTATTCGTTCTGCGTTGCCCATACCAGGCATTGACTTCATCCTAGGTAATGACCTTGCTGGAGGTAAGGTCACACCCATTCCTGAGGTGTTAGACAGACCCGAGCTGAGCCGGGATTCTGACCCAGCCCAAGACCAGCCTGCCATTTTTCCAGCTTGTGTAGTTACGAGGGCCCAGACAAAAAAGTATGGTCCTGACTTGGCCGATTCCTTCATGAGGTCAGATCCCGTTGGTGACGTGATTAACTTTACCTCTGGATCTAAGGTTCAGGCCACAGTTCCACCTGCTGACAAAACACAACCAGTTCTGGATTTGCCAGTCTCCCGAGAGGAGTTCATTATTGCACAGAAAAATGATGTAACCCTGTCCAAGTGTCATTCCTCCACTCTCAGTCAACAGGATGCCAAAAGGAAAAAGCTGGCTTACTTCTCTGACGAAGGTCTTCTGATGCGCAGATGGACAAGTGAGGTCTCGGAAGACGCAGACTGGTCTGCAGTTTATCAAGTGGTTGTACCTACTGCTTATCGTACCCAGGTACTGTCCTTAGCACATGACCATCCATGGTCAGGACATTTGGGGGTTAATAAAACATACACCAGAATTCTGAAACATTTTTTCTGGCCCGGACTGAAATCTGATGTTGTTCAATACTGCCGTACTTGCCATGTATGCCAAATGACCGGCAAGCCAAACCAAGTAATCCCCCCAGCTCCTCTCTGTCCTATCCCAGTAGTAGAGGAGCCATTTCAAAAAGTGATTGTTGACTGTGTGGGGCCTCTACCTAAAGCTAAAACTGGAAACCAGTTTCTTTTGACTGTCATGTGCGTTTCAACCAGGTTTCCCGAGGCAATCCCACTACGGAGAATAACAGCTCAGATTGTTGTCAAAGCACTGTTGAGATTCTTTTCAACCTTTGGTCTGCCTAAGGTTGTGCAAACAGACCAAGGCACTAACTTTAAGTCTAGAGTGTTTGCCCAAGCCCTGAAAACATTAGGCATTGAACACATAACCTCGAGTTCTTACCATCCTGAAAGTCAGGGGGCACTAGAGAGGTTTCATCAGACTTTGAAGTCTATGTTAAGGAAACACTGTTATAGTTCCCAACGGGACTGGGATGAAAGTGTTCCACTTGTTTTATTTGCCTGTCGGGAAGCAACCCAAGAATCTCTGGGATTTAGTCCCAGTGAACTTGTGTTTGGGCGTGAGATGAGGGGTCCTTTGAAGGTTTTTAAAGAAAGGCTAGCTACACCGGTTGACAACGCCAAAAGCCTTCCAGAGTACGTCAAGACACTGAATGACAGGTTGAAGAGGGCTTATTCCTTAACCAGGAAGGTATTAGCCACGTCACAAGCGAAAATGAAGAGACACTTTGATCAGCGGGCTGTTGACCGTTCATTTCTGCCAGGTGACAGAGTGCTCCTTCTCCTTCCGGTGCCCGGCTCCTCTCTCTCCGTTAGGTTCTCTGGTCCTTATGTTGTAGAGAGAAAACTCAGCAAGACTAACTACATTATTCAGACCCCAGATCGCAGACGTCCCACTCGGGTGTGTCATGTCAACATGATGAAGCTGTACAACTCTCGTGAACCTTCAGCTGTGCCATCTGTGGCTACGTTTCCGATGGCTTCGGTGACCAAGGTGGAGATTACTCCAGATGAAGATGGGTTGGTGTTACGGGGTGCTGAGCCTCAAAGTGCTCGACTAGGTAATTCTGTGATATTGTCGACCCTAACACAATACCTGTCCCACCTTCCTGCTGAACAGAGTAATGATATTATAACACTCATATCGAGATTCCCATCTCTGTTCAGTGATATCCCGTCTCAAACCTCTGTCATAAAACATGATGTGGTGCTGACTAACCCTACACCAATCAAACAGCACGCTTATCGGGTTAGTCCTGCAAAGAGGGAGATCATAAAACAGGAAGTTGAGTATCTTCAGAATGGATTTGCAGTGCCAAGCTCCAGCTCTTGGAGTTCACCATGTCTCTTAGACACAAAAAAAGATGGAAGCCCAAGATTCTGTACCGACTTCCGAAAGGTGAACTCTGTCACTGTACCGGATGCACATCCCTTACCTCTTATCGATGACTGCATTGATGAAATCGGGCCTGCAAAATACATCACTAAACTCGATATGTTAAAAGGGTATTGGCAAGTGCCTTTGACACAGCAAGCATCTGACATTTCAGCTTTTGTCACTCCTGACCACTTTCTGCAGTATACGGTTATGCCTTTTGGCATGTGCAATGCCCCTGCAACATTTCAGAGACTGGTTAATAAAGTGTTGGGAAACATCCCCAACTGCAGAGCCTACTTGGATGACATCGTTGTGTATAGCAGTGACTGGTCAACCCACATGGCTACATTGAAAGAAGTCTTCATTAGCCTAGAAAATGCATCTCTCACTTTGAACCTTGCCAAATGTGATTTTGCTAGAGGCAGTGTCCTCTACCTTGGCCAGCAAGTTGGTCTAGGAAAAGTGCGCCCTGCAGATGCCAAAGTCACTGCGATTAGAGAGTTCCCCCAACCAACCACCAGGAGAGAACTGCGGCGGTTCCTTGGGATGACAGGATATTACCGACGATTTTGTAAGAATTTCTCTTCTGTTGCTGCCCCCCTCACTGACTTAACCAGCCCCTCAAAGCCGTTTATTTGGTCTGAGAGTTGCCAGCAGGCTTTCGAAAGCCTTAAGGGCTTACTTTGTTGCACCCCTGTTTTGTCTGCTCCTAACTTCTCTTTACCATTCAAACTGGAAATAGATGCCAGCGCAGTTGGGGCGGGAGCGGTGCTTCTCCAGGAGGATACCCAGGGCATTGACCATCCTGTAAGTTACTTCTCTCGGAAGTTTGACAAACACCAGCTCAGGTATTCTACCATTGAAAAGGAGACCCTTGCTTTGTTGTGGGCCTTGCAACATTCTGAAGTCTATACAGAGTCAGGTCAGAGGTCAGTCCAAGTATTCACAGATCACAACCCTTTAGTTTTCCTCTCCAAGATGTATAATCACAACCAGCGGCTTATGCGTTGGTCACTGATTATTCAGAATTATACCCTACGCCGTGGTGGTGGGGGGGGGGACGTAACAAAGACAAATTGGATATAAAATGCTGCGAGGCTGTTTGTTTCATCCAAGACGAACGTTAGTTTTTCTTGTTAAATTCTGCGTAAATTTTTAATTGTAAAACAGGGATTTAATAACTGACCACAGGTCCCCGAGGGCCTCGTTTGATGTGGTACAGGTCGGGTGTTGGTCCAATGGGTCCCATTAAGCCTCTGGGGCCAGGTGGTCCAGGGGGCCCCGTCTGTCCTGAAATTCCTGGAGGGCCTTCTGGTCCTGGATCTCCTGAAGTATTACACACTGATATGAGTGGGTAGGAAACAACTGAAGAGATTACACACACAGACTCTGCATAATAGATGCTTCTTAGCTGTACTAGAGAGATTTCAATGTTAAGATGATGCCAACAATGCCTATATTATATGAGGAAAACCTGCACTGTGTGCTAACATTGTTTAAAAGAGGGATGACCACAAAAACACCCTGAAGTTTGGATTTTAGCTTTTCAGAGGTTTACAATTTGAGGTTACCTATAGTTTGCAGTTAAATATGGTACAAATATTAATTCTCTATTAACAGGTCAAAATTAAAAGTTGTCCAATGCTTTGAATTGTGAAAACTAAATACTCTTGTATTTTATTGATTATTATTGATTAATGCATTTTTACCATGCTGTAAAAAGTGCATTACCCCAGTGTGGGCTTAAACCTACTAATAGCATAAGTGCTGTCAGTAATATTTTCATGTAAGGTGTGCCTAAATGCATCTAGCCTATCAGTACTTCCAACATTTTGCTTAACGTCATGACTTCTTCATAGAGGCTGGTGTTCTCCCGTAGAAACTGAGGCTGTGTCTTACCTGGGAGTCCAGGGGAACCTGGAGGCCCTGGTAAAGACATAGGTGATAGGAGTTTTTCACTCGTCATCTGCTCAGGGATGCCAGCACTGTTTGACAGCAAAGCCATCTTAGAGGAGTTACGAAAGAAAAAGAAGAAATGGTTGAATAACACTGTAAATGCCATGGAAAGTTAACTAAAAATTGCTGAATTAATTAAGCCCTTTTTTAAGCTGATTTGGAAGTTATAAGATAAGATAAGATAGGATAAGATAACCTTTATTAGTCCCACACGTGGGAAATTTGTTTTGTCACAGCAGGAAGTGGACAGTGTATATAAAACATACAAATATCTGACTGTACAATTATGCATTTAGTTTTAAAAACAGTTTTACATACAATGACTCATAAAAGCCTGCAATGTCAAACAGGAAATGAAACTTTCACCCTGGAGGGCCAACATAAACTAAAATTAAGCTAAAATTTTATTCTCTGCCAAAGATTAAAGTTGATCATCTATCTGCACCACAGTATAAGCAGTAACCCAGCCAGATGGAAGGCCAGGCAACCCCTCTGCATTATTCAGCATGACCAGGAGCTTTCCTGCTCCTGTATACTAAGTAGCATCCTTGAGGAAAAAGTTATCTTTGATCTGAGTAGAACATCATGTGGAGCTGGTGACCCCTGGGGGTAATACCTTAAAGACCTCACCATGCTGCCAGGGCTGACAAATCAGAATTCATGCAAGACGCAGAAGCATCTGTCCATGCTGGCGCACACACACACACACACACACACACACACACACACACACACACACACACACACACTGAAAGGTTGTGGTTCACCTGCTGATCAGTAAAAATTATACAAGACTTTAGCCTGTGACCTTGGGTACAGGTGTTCAAACTGAGGGTTCCTAACCTTTCCATGATATGAATAAATGAAATCTTTACTTACTTTTTTCTGAAACTTTAAAGAACATCTACATTTTTATGTTTATTTTATTAAACAAAAACAGTTTTTTGAGTTCCACAATGAAAACTAACATACTGCTGTCATGCACATGTGTAGCTCAGTTTGCAAGATTTGTGATATTTCTGTTGAGTTTGTGGGTGAAATGGACCAATCCAATGCGCACTTTTTTACCTTCTGTTTAAGCTGTAGGACAGACATCTTAATTTGGTAGAAATCATCACACGTGGCTGAGCAGGTTCCAGTATTCATGACATTATCAGACTTCTCAAAGAGATGTACTGCTGGGAAATGGGAAAATGTTTATGTTAACATAATGCTTTTCTTAGAAAACTGTCAGGAAAACAGACTTTACTGAAGAAGCTACATCTGGCTGCTCCCTTATTCAACAAGGATCACCACAGTGGGAAGCTCCACATTTTTGATTTGGCAGATATTTATGTTGGATTCTCTTCTTGACGTAGCCCCCAAAGGGAATTGTGTCTCTTCCTGGGACCGAACCACGTATCTTTCACTTGCTTGTCATAAAGTGTAAACCAAAAGCTATGCTTTGGGAAAGTTAACCTAAAGCGTATGATTCAGAGCTGTGTTAAATTGACCACATAAAGGGAAACCACAATTGTTATTACTGTCAGGTTACATTAAATCTGTCGCCAAAACAGTCTAATAATTTAAATAGTGTTGTTATGTTCAGCAGTGCTGCCTTCGTAACTGTTCGATGGGTTTCTGATAAGCTGTGTGAGCAGAGTGAGGGATGAGTGGCTTATGTTCTGAAGGCAAAAGCAGCAAAACAGTTATTTAGTCTTATAGTTCTGTTTGTGCTTTAGTCTTTTCAGAAACAGGTATTAAAACCTGAAATGAGGAAACTATTCATGAACCAGTTCTGACTTTATTCTGATCTGATTTGTACAACCGGATAGTGACTGCTTTCTTTGTGTGATGAATATAAGATTGAGCAGTTTTGTTCTCGCAAACACTCTCTTTTTTAATAACTGGGGAAAAGCAAATCCACTAGCGAAAAGGTACATTAACCATTGTGGGTGATTTACTGAACTAAAGTTGGCAGGGGGCTGTAAAAAATGAGTCAGTCGCTGGAAAGTGCAGAATTAAAATGAGTTCAGAGTTAACAATGTGATTTAATAACATATTGTTACAACTGAAAATAACTACATGTCTTTTTTTCTTACTTTCCTTTCCACTTTTTCAGCTTTTTGCTCGTTCGTCCAGATTAAAACGATAATATCTTTTTCTTTTTTTTGCCTGTCCCGTTTGGCTCTTTTGCCATCAGAATTATTGTCTAAAGGCCCAACGGATTTACTTTACCAAATGGACCATCCCAGCCTTGCCGTAATGGTCTATTTGATTCACCTTTTTTTTTTATTGTTTATTTTATTTTATTTTCACTTGCTGAATACGGGACAGATTTGACTGGGGAAAAGAAAGGGGAGAAAGAAAGAGGGAAAGAAAAACAGTGGGGAAAAGGAAATGTGATAAAGGGCAAACAACAAAAACCAACAAAATAAGCAGACAAAAAATACATATATCAATCACCTCGGGTCCGTTCTTCGTACCTCGCTAAGTAAGTTAGCTGGATTTGATTGTTGACGATTTCGCGTGATCTTGGATCGTTCGGTTCTCCGAAGCTCATCCGGGACTTGCTGTCATAGCAACAGATCCGTAAGCGTAAACCTGCTCGGGAGCAGGTTTACTTTATGTAAACAGGATTAGATCGCGACCACTCAGGTATGTCCGCTTCATTTATATGAAAGCAACAGCGATATTTTACCACTGTTGTACCATAAATAAATATTATCAATGTAACTAAAGATAATGCAGCACTTGATCCATTTATTGATTTCACACAGATACATACAGGTCATTTCCTAAAAAAGGGAAATGTACTATTAATCATCCTATTTCATGTATTTGATTATTACAGATGTAATTCATATTTTAGAGTAGTAATTGGAAATTACTTCGTGTAATCAAGATGGGAGACCACGGCTATAAAAGCGAAGGTGGATTTGGGAAGTCTGTCGCAGTCATATCCTGTCCGTTTACGCGAGCAGCCCATTGCGGAAGGTGCAAGATTGATAAGGAGAGTTTTCAGAATTCAGCGTATATTGCGGGACAGACAGGATCCTTTAGCTCAGCGCGACAGTGTGCTCATAGAGAGATATCAATTTTCCCGTGAGGGTATTATTTACATAACCAACTTGTTGACGAGGGGGTGCAGGACCACCACCTGTCTTTTTATGCTCTGCCCTTTTCTTGGTTGCTGTTATAAACAAACAGATTATTTCAGGGTCTCTTTTCAAGAGACTAAAAGCAATATAAGTGATAAATATTACCATTCTGTAGAATATTCTTATATTTCACTTTTACTTGTTCCCACTGATCAAGCACACACATCCATACATATGCAATAATACTAAGTGCAATAATCCTTTCTGTCATCGTTGTATTTTTACTCAGTTGTATATAGTATTTGTATTTGTATTCTATTTTTATCTTATTGTATATTTATTTTATTTTATTCTACTGTATATAGTATTTTATTTTATTCTATTCTGTACAGTTGTGTACTGTATTTATTCTTATTGTATTCTAATTTTTGCCTCATAACTTTTGCACTGTCCACTTCCTGCTGTGACAAAACAAATTTCCCACGTGTGGGACTAATAAAGGTTATCTTATCTTATCTTATCTTATGTTCTAGTGGGTCCTGTTGTGGCTCTAATGTGAAAGAGGATATAATATAATATAATATAATATAATATGATATAATGTAATATAATAAATTTACCCTACCGCCTACTGGTGTTGGCCAGAGGGGCCGATGGCGCGATATGGCAGCCTGGCTTCTGTCAGTCTGCCCCAGGGCAGCTGTGGCTACAACCGTAGCTGCCTCCACCAGTGTGTGAATGTGAGAGTGAATGAATAGTGGCATTGTAAAGCGCTTTGGGTGCCTTGAAAAGCGCTATATAAATCCACTCCATTATTATTGTTATTATTATTAAATTACTTACGAGTTTAATTTGTCAGCAACTTTCTGCCAGCCCTCTCTCCTTGCTTTTGCAGCCTTTGCAGTGTTCCCTTGCGTTTTAATTAAACTCTGAAACTCCTGAAATCCCTCACTCAAGAGTTCTTGCTCTGCTGCCGAAAAATACTGAGCGCGCTCCTTCGACATTTTCGCCGACCAATCAGAGGGTTGCCGATCAATGTTTCTACTATCGATGCATAGCCCCTGTTAAGCCACCCAGTGATCTCACATTACTTCATCCAGCTATACTAATCGTCAACAACAGGTGTGTTCGAAGAACCGGAATAGCGAGCTCAAAGTTAGCGCGATGATTTGATCTTGGATGTAGTAAGCGAGGTACGAAGAACGGACCCCTGGATCACCTGTTGAGAAAGAAAAAAGAAAACAAGCAGAAGGAAAAAAAAGAGCAACATAATAAACAACATCATGATGATCTACACTCAACAAAAATATAAACGCAACACCTTTGTTACTGCTCCCATTCCCCATGGGATGGACGTAGAGACCTAAAATTCATTCCAGATACACAATATAACCATCCCTCCCAAACAGTGGTCACAAATCAGTCCAAATGTGTGGTAGTGGGCACATCTGCCATATTGAGATAATCCATCCCACCTCACAGGTGTGCCACATCAGGATGCTGATCTGACATCATGAGTAGTGCACAGGTGTACCTCAGACTGCCCACAACAAAAGGCCACCCTGGAATGTGCAGTTTTTTGCGCTATTGGGGGTTTGGGGACCCAGAACCGGTCAGTATCTGGTGTGACCACCATTTGCCTCATGCAGTGCAACACATCGTCGCATGGAGTCTATCAGATTGTCAATTGTGGCCTGTGGAATGTTGGTCCACTCCACTTCAATGGCTGTGCGAGGTTGTTGGATATTCGTGGGAACTGGTACACGCTGTCGTATACGCCGGTCAAGCACATCCCGAACATGCTCAATGGGTGACATGTCCGGTGAGTATGCTGGCCATGCAAGAACTGGGACATTCTCAGCTGCCATCTGCCCTGAACAATGTGAACCATGATTCATCCGTGAAGCGCACACCTCTCCAACGTGCCAGACGCCATCGAATGTGAGCATTTGCCCACACAAGTCTGTTACGGCGACGAGCTGGAGTCAGGTCAAGACCCCGATGAGGACGGCAGGCATGCAGTTGAGCGTCCCTGAGATGGTTTCTGACAGTTTGTGCAGAAATTGTTTGGTTGTGCAAACCAATTGTTCCAGCAGCTGTCTGGGTGGCTGGTCTCAGACGATCTTGGAGGTGAACCTGCTGGATGTGGAGGTCCTGGGCTGGTGTGGTTACACGAGGTCTGCGGTTGTGAGGCCGGTTGGATGTGCTGCCATATTCTCTGAAACGCCTGTGGAGACGGCTTATGGTTGAGAAATGAACATTCAATGCACGGGCGACAGATCTGGTTGACATTCCTGCTGTCAGCATGCCAATTGCACGCTCCCTCATTGCTTGTGGCATCTGTGGCATTTTGCTGTGAGACAAAACTGCACATTCCAGGGTGGCCTTTTGTTGTGGGCAGTCTGAGGTACACCTGTGCACTACTCATGATGTCAGATCAGCATCCTGATGTGGCACACCTGTGAGGTGGGATGGATTATCTCAATATAGCAGATGTGCCCACTACCACACATTTGGACTGATTTGTGACCACTGTTTGGGAGGGATGGTTATATTGTGTATCTGGAATGAATTTTAGGTCTCTACGTCCATCCCATGGGGAATGGGAGCAGTAACAAAGGTGTTGCGTTTATATTTTTGTTGAGTGTATGTGAATATAACAGTAAATACTAAATATTAAACATTATTGTGCAGCACGTAAGATCGACAGTGCACAGTGTGCTTTGAGGTAGGAGCCAAAAAGGGTGTAGTTTGTGTGTGTGAGCTCCCGTGTGTACACCTGTGAGCATGGACGCGCTTGTATAAAAAGGTTCCTTCATGTAAAGATCTGTTAGAGGGTGTGGGGGGGCCACAGCCCCGTCCTCCAGGGCATGAAGCAGGTATGGAGGAGATCAAGACTCCAGACATCCAGAGGCCCTCAGAGCACAAGAGACCAAGGAAGACCAACAGAGGGGCAGCTGCACGATATCCCAGAAAGAGCTGAGGAGAACCCCAGATGAGGGGTCACTCAGCAGCCGCGGAGCAGAAGCCAGGGGGGGTTGCAGTGCCAAGAGGCCGGGGGCACCCCACCCCCGAAGTGGCCCGAGTGAGCCCCAGGCTCCAAGCCCCGACAAGCAGCCACCAGGAGTGAGCCGGTGTGTACCTGGACGCCCACCCCCGGACACAAAGAACCACCAACGCACCGATGTTTGAGGGCGTCAGTCACTGGCAGGGGGAGTGGTGGGGAGAGATAGGCCTCCATACCTTGGAGGACCTGGGATGTCCCTAGAGAGGTGGCGTCTGATACCCAACCTGACATATAGACACAGACATACAGGCACACACAGATACAGACATCCATTCCCACCCTCATGCTCTCATATGCAATACATAAAACGATAATATCTAATCAATAAACTTGCACATACCTCACATTCCTATGGAAACAAAGCCCATAAAAAGCACACTGTAGCTCTTCTAGTTTGGTCTCGAGCCTGTGGTTGAATGGTGAAACTGTCTGGATATTATTTTCCCCCACTATATTACAAAACAGCGGGACATAAAGTGGCAGCATGATGTGTACCGCAGTTTCTCATTCTCCAGCTTTTTGCTGAACTATAGTATGCAATGGAAGATGAACACAAGGGAGGAAGTAACAAATCTTTAGCACTTTACTGCTTCATTGCAACTGAATCTGAGGCAAAATAAGAAAAAAATGTTTTTTTATCGCCTAGAACATTTGAGCTTTCTTCAAATACACCAAGCAAATCAGGAAAGATCAGGAGTCAAAGGGGCAGCACCACGTTGAGGAGACAGAACCATTCTGACATGCACAAGGGTCGAAGATGTCTAATGACTCCCAGGTGTCTGTGTTTTGCAGTACCCCTCCTCTTCCTCCGCCTCCCTCTCTCGCTCACATACACCAATAACAAGCTGTCAGCTTCACGTCACAGTCAGAGGTGCCCTTGAATAAAGACAAAATGTCAGTCTCTTTATTCAAGGGCACGTCTGACTGTGAGGTGACCTTGGCTGAAGAGAAAATGTCAATCTCACCTCTCTCCCCCTTGGTGCATGTTTTCCCATCTTCTTCCAGGAAGTAGCCTTTCTCACACTCACACCTGTAGCTCCCCACAGAGTTAATGCAGATCTGAGAGCATGCAGTCATGTTTTTGTCAGCGCATTCATTGATGTCTGCATCATGCGGTGACAAGAGGGAGATAAAAGAAAGACAAAGTGTCACTTCGGGTCACTTAGGTTTTACTGACAAGCACAACCTCATGATAATTTAAAGAAATATATATAAAAAATATTCATCGTAAGGTATTTTGTCTTTGTACAAAAGGAGCACAGGCTTCTTTTAAATGACCGTTAAGATCAAATAATCAAACATTATTTTAAAAGATGACACTGATTAATATGTATGTGGTGTACCCACCCAGACAATAGGGCTTCTCTCGCCTTCTGTGACGCTCACGGTCATAGCGATAGCCGGGGTAACAGGTACACACCACTCTGCCGAAATGATCGGTACACTGCTGCTCACAGGGGGCGCCGGCGCATACGTCATAGTCTGGACATAAATGAAGCGCTTTGTCAGTATGAGCAAGAAAACAGAAACTGAGCATCTCAGATCCATCTACCATTAAGTTTTTATTATTACATATTATAAGACTAAAGACTGGATGGGTTTGGGAAGAAGTCCCAAAATAATCAGAGAAGCACAGGAGAGATATCCAGTTTCATACCTTCAGGAATGCACTGGCCCAGAACAAACTTAAAGCCCTTGCAACACTTCTTTCTGTAAAATATCAAAGGAACATGTGCATAAGAAGACAAATTCACTACTTTAATACACAAAGGTGTATTTACATAAAATATACAGTACTGTGAGAATATACAGAAATGAGCTCCTCTTTTTCTCTTTGTATTTTGCTTCCAAGGAACCAGACTTACAATTCTTTTAAGTGATCTTGAGCAACACTTCTTCAGGTCGAAAAATGCTTTTCCGCTCATGTTCAGTTCACTCCTTGTACCCGAACATTTTCAGAGGAATGTTTTCGGTGTGTTAAGCCTAACACTGACCTATGAATAATTAAAGTATTACAAAAGGCCCCTAACATACAGGGATGAACCAATGTTTTCTCTACAGATAACAAAAATATTAACAAAGAACAACATTTAAACTGTACCTTTGGGCACTTTAGCAACCTGTCCCAAAAGATATAATTTGTCCCTTTCCTTAGCTGAATCGACAACAAATGCCAAAGATAGCACAGTCTGACGGGTATAAAATACTGTAGTACTTCAGCACCAATAAAACAATTACTTAAATGGAATGCTTATTGACCCTCTTAACACTGACCTATGAATCACTGAAACATAAAAAAGGCTCTTAACTTACAGGATGAACCAGTGTTGTTTTTACACATAACAGAAAACTTAGCAAAGAGCCAATTTCAAATTGTATCTTTGTTACTAGTCTGTTGTAAGAACACATAATTTGTTTCCATTTCTTTAGCTGATTGAATCCATGAAACTCCCAAAGATAACACAGTTTGACAGACATACAATAGTATTTTTTGCACAATCAAGTTGATTCCCCAAAGAGCTATTAGCTGAAACGCTGCCATATTGTAGCATAATGTACAGTGTGGACTTAAAAAAGTGGACAACTGGAGAACAAAAGAAGATGTGGCAGGCCTTAAAAATGATCTACAGCAGATGAACAGTATCTAAAAGTCATGTCCTTAAGAAATAGGAAAAAATCCAGAAAACACATGACACAGGTCCTGAGAGACACGTCAGGTCCTTCAGTTGATCCATCTACTGTTGACTAAAGCCTCATTAGAAATGGTCTCAGTGTAAGGGTGGCTGTTGAGAACCCATTCCCCCAGGGAGATGGGGAGAAAAGGCTGAGGTATGCCAAATTACCCAAGAACTAGACTGAAAATCATCGGTAACAGGTCTGATGGAAAGATGGATCCAAGTGTAAGATTTCTGGGTCATAAATATATGGAAGACATCAGGAAAGAGGTAAAACAGTCATTTTCTATAGCCATCTGCTTGGCACTCTGTCATGTTTAGGACTGCAACAGCGATCTTGTGAATGCTGATGGAATGTGTTGACAACACTATTTAAAAGCATCTGATTGGCGACACCTTCATTTTTCAGCAAAATTATCCCAAACACACTGCCAGTGCAGTAAAAGCATACCTGGAAAAAAAACACACACAAGGAGCACTGTCAGTCATTGATTAGCCTCCTCAGAGCACAGGCCTCAGACTTATTACAGCAATGTGGGATCATCTTGACAGAGAATGAAACAAAAAGGCAGCCAACATCCAAAGGAGACATTTGAATGTCCTTTAAGAAGCTGGGAGAACTATTCCTGAAGACTGCTTAAAGAAATTAGAAGAAAGCTCGCTAAGAGACTTCAGGCTGTGTTGAAGAATGAAGGTGGTCATACCAAACACTGACTTTCAAGCTTTTAAGAAAAGTAAAAACTAAACTGTTCCAATATTTCAGGCTGTTTATATGAACGTGTTTGAAGAAATCTAAAACTAATTTTGTTATGCACGCACATGCACACATAACCACACACACATAACCACACACACATAACCACACACATGCACACATAACCACACACACACACAAACAGCTGTAGGCAGATCTCGTTGCTGTGTCTGTTTCTGCATGTTTGCTCAGGTCTAATTACACTTCTTTGAATTTCAACATAATTCAGAGGACTGTAAGTTGACTATGGTAGTTTTTTATTTTAAAAAAACATTTGTGACTCTTCAGGTTTCCACAGGAGGAAATTAACCTGCAAAAACCAGATTTGAACCCTTACCTCAAACTTAACACTTTAACTCATGCACAAGTGATTATCATACAAAAGGAACACTCACCACTCAAGAGATTCTTAATGGGGAAAGAGCAGGCCATGTGTAACGCATCTATGTATAAATTCAAATATGGTGCACTGATGTATTTTTCACTGAGTACATATGATTTGCTGGGTTGTTGAATTGAGTGCAGTGATTCTGAACATCAGAGAGAGGGGTTTTAGCACATAAATGAGGTACTGGTCAGTTCCTGAAATCAGTCAAGATGACCACCATTGTTGATCTGCATAGTATGAAACATACTGACTGAGGAACAGATCTATGCATGTACCACACACACACACACACACACACACACACACACACACACACACACACACACACACACACACACACACACACACACACACACACACACACTGGACGCTGTCACAGAAGCGCTGATTAAGACAACTGGCAACTTCAAGAGCTGCTACTCTTATTAATCTTTCCTTGTCATATTTGTACTGTAAATCAGTTTGTAAAGCAGGTATGAAATTATTGTACAGAAAACATATACAGCAGATCTGTGCACATCTGTCTTTCAATTTATGTTGATTGCATCCCAGCATACTGAATGTTGGGAGAAGCTTGGATTTAGACACCCCGAGAGAGTAGATCTGAGGATGGCTTCCTGCGTGACCCAATATCGCATGTCGTAATAACATCCCCCTGAGGGCAGAAGGCACTTATAGCAAATAACCAGCTTAGCAAAATAACCAGGGTTAGCTGAACAATCATGAGAAAACAAACATCTATGTCCGTCTCCAAAGGATCACGAAAGAGGCAACAGCATCCCATGGAAACTGGATCCCAAGCTGTGTTCAAGTTCATTTTTACTGAGCTGCATCTTTTGTTTTATTAAATTAGCATCCAGGGAAATGCTGATTATCTCTATCATTTTATACCTCGCCGTACTGTCTCTCATTATATTATTAAATAAACATGTGTAATTGCACTGGTATTTGGTTTCCTTGCTGATAAAAAAGCACTTTAAACACAACTAAGTATTATCTGACATTTTCCATTTTTACAAATTGGCTAAATGTAAATTACTGATTTATTATGACACCACTTGGTTAAACATTTGTATTTTGACATGTGTGGACACAAAAACTAAGAGATAAAGGGTGATGGTAAAGACATGACCTGTCTAAAAGTTAAAACAACATGCTTTGTAAAGACATGGGATGATAGATGCTTGGGTTTAAGGTTGGTGCACTAAGGCTATAAAATACCCTCAAACTATCCACATGATTTATTTCCTGATTGTGAAAAATCTGCCACAACTCCTTAATGGAAGTCCTCAGAGATAAATGGATAATACATGACAACAAAAAATGTACATGCCATATAGTGAAGTACATGCTCAAAAACGAATGCACTGTGTTGATATTACTGCTCATTTCTGTCAAATTCCTACATTGTGTAGTGGTTAGGGTTGTAGCTAGTGTTTGTAGTCTACACAAGTGTAACACTGAAGCGCTGAAGTGCTGGGATTAAGTGTGATGACGGATACCTTAACTGTTATAAATGCAGCATGTACCAAGACAACTCCTGATTCACCAAAAACTATTTAGCAATTTACCTCTGCTCCTCTAACACTGTTTAATAGCAGAAAATGCTCTTATCCTAATCACGCTCCACACTTGGGGAGAGTCAGGGATCACGACATGAATGCTTCTTTGCTCTCTTACCAACAACAACTATTAAGGAGTTTGTGCACGGCCACTTAACCACAAAGCACTTTATGATTCAGCACACAAAACAAAACCCCGCCGAGTTTTGACGCACAGAGCCTTGGAACTTTTCGCAACAACAGCTTCTCTCCCCTGCAAGCCTGCCGTTCGCTCATGTGCTTCATGCAAATCGGCAAACAAATTTGAAACACATGTGGATTTCATTCATATTCATGAGTGAAAGAACAAGGGAGAAAGATTTCCCAGGTGCATTCATGCCACTTTTCTACAAGAATATCAGGGAGTCACAGGCCTGCACACGCACAATGCCCGCATGTTGTGACTGACACTTGATTTCACACACACTAGACTGTGAAAACCTGCACTTATTCAGAGTGATCAGGACAACACACAGCCTGTTTGTTTTGTCACCTGTGCCTTTTTCTTCACCACAAGGTTATTTAAATGTGCTAGTAATGCATATCTTCTTACAGGGGGGCCCCTGAAATCTAGACATAAACTAGTCTGACCTCAGTTACCCGAGGTGAACCATAAGCACTCTAATTACCTTATAAACAGAAGCCCTTCCCTGAACCAACACGGTGCACCCAGCTTGGCCTGGCAGTGCCTTGTGACACACTAATTCACCACAGCACACAGAAGCATCAACGTCAACATTTGGATACAGCAAGAAGTTCGAAAAATAAATCGATCATCGCTTTACAAAAAAGGAAAAATAGCAAACTGAATGGTAACACACTCACACACAAACACACAGCTGTGAGACAACACATGCACTCTGCTCCATGGAGGCTTATTTGTCTAACATTGCTGCCAGTGATTCTGCATTCCTCACAAGAGAAGAGGTTTCTTAAAGTGAAGAGGATGCAGCTTCTGTACTCAGATTAGCCTGATCGTGCTAAAAAGAGTGGGACATAAACGAAACCACCGTTATGACCATATAATGACTACCAGGATTTTCTGTTTTTCTTGGACTTGTGTTTATATTAATTAAAGTCTCGGTAGCTTGAAGAGACAAAACAAACAAACTGAAGACACTGATGACATTTTCAATAGTGGAGCTTTTACAAATGACTCATAAATAAATAAAAGGATGGCTACAATCATAAAAACAAAAGAACACGCTAACAGAAACATATCATTAATATACAAATGCATATAACCATCCACAACAAAACTTATTTCATCATCTACCCCATTTGACGGACTT